CACACCCGACTTAAGGGAACCATGTCTGACTAGCTTTCATAATTAAGAGGTACCCACCCACGCCTGACTTAACAGAACCCATGCCTGACTAGCCTTCATAATTAAAAGGTACCCATGCCCCTGAAGTAAGGGAACCATGCCTGACTAGCCTTCACAATTAAAAGGTACCCACTGGAACCATGCCTGGCTAGCTTTAATGACTTAAAAGGTAACTACACCTGACTTAATACCTGATTTACTGGTTTTGCCTGATTTTGGAAAAACGCAGGGCCGGAATTTGCAGGGCGCGGGCTGGAATTTGCCGGGCCCGGGCCGGAATTTACCGGGCTGGGATTGTGGGGTCGTGCCTAAATAGGATTCTTGCAAAAATCGTGCATGACTGAATGGAACCATGCCTGACTAAACATCATACCAATCATCCCAAAAGAATCCAATAATTCCAGCAAGTGATGCCTGACCAATCCCTGCGTCATAATAAACCGTCTGCCCCTCCCCACCCAAGAATGAACACACGGAATAGTTTTTTGTATTTAGTGGGTATTTAGTATGAAGGTGCGAAACTTCCCCCTTGGTTAAAAAAAACTAAATTGGAAAACATTTTTTAAATAACATCTAACTAAAATATTGCCAAAATTGGATTCCGAAGCTTCCCCCTGACATTAAATTGAAAACATTCGTTTTTAAAAATGAACTTTATATTTCAAAACCGATTGAATTCCTATTCAAAATCTAACTCAAATCTTGCCAAATTGGATTTCGAAGCTTCCCCTTATATTAAATTGAAAACCTTACTAATCCCCATCTCCTTTTACTAAACGTACCCTAAATACTAAAATATCACGAAAGGTAGCTCCAGAGGGGCTACCTTGAGTTTTACTTTACGAAGTAAAGGGGAGGGCGGCCAGCCCCGTTACCTGATTCTTCAGGAGATTGCTAGTCATTTTAGTACCCCCCCCCCTCCTCCACACCTCCCACGCACCCTAAGAGCAGACTCAAAATACTGTAATTTACAGTATTTTTGTTCTTTTCGGATCAAGAAACCACATTTTGCTACATGGTGAAACCTCCGTAAATACCAGTGTTTTTGCTAGGTGCTGGCCAAAAAACACTGTAAATACCGTGCTTTTTACTACCAGAGGCAAAAAACATCGTAAAACCGTGGTTTTGGGCTTCCGACCCGCCAAAAACATCGGTATTTACGGTGTTTTTTGCTCCGAGAGTTGCAAAAACACGCGAAAACACCACCGATTTGACGATTTTCGGCAACTACGGAACCGAGCAAAAACGCTGCAGGGGTAACACCAACACCAACAACAACAACACCAACAGCAACAGCAACAACAACAACAACGACGACAACAACAACAACAACAACAACACACAACGCACAATGCACAACGCACAACGCACAATGCACAACGCAAAACGCACAACGCACAACGCACAACACACAACACACAAAACACACAACACACACACACAACACACACAACACACACAACACACACAACAACACACAACAACACACAACAACACACACACAACCACACACAACAACACACACACACAAAACAACACACAACAACACACCACAACACACAACAACACACAACAACACACAACAACACACAACAACACACAACAACACACAACAACACACAACAACACACAACAACACACAACAACACTCAACAACACACAACAACACACAACAACACACAACAACACACAACAACACACAACAACACACAACAACACACAACAACACACAACAACACACAACAACACACAACAACACACAACAACACACAACAACACACAACAACACACAACAACACCCAACAACACACAACAACACCCAACAACACACAACAACACACAACAACACACAACAACACACAACAACACACAACAACACACAACAACACACACAACAACACAAACAACACACAACAACACACCACATTACACCACAACACACACAACAACACACAACAACACACAACAACACACAACAACACACAACAACACACCACAACACACAACAACACACCACAACACACAACAACACACCACAACACACAACAACACACAACAACACACAACAACACACAACAACACACAACAACACACAACAACACACAACAACACACAACAACAACAACAACAACATCAACAACAACAACAACAACAACACCATCAACAGCAGCAGCAGCAGCAACAACAGCAACAACAACAGCAACAACAACAACAACAACAACACGAACACGAACACGAACAATACCAACACCAACAACACGACCAACAACACCAACACCACCAACAAACCCAACCACACCAACAACACTAACAACACTAACCTCACTAACAACACCAGAAACACTACCACCACCAACAACACCAACAACACCAATACCAACAACACCAACAACACCAACACCACCAGCACCACCAACACCACCAACACCAACACCACCAGCACCACCAACACCACCAACACCACAACCACCACCAACCCCAAC